ACTGTAAAACTAAACTCGTACATTAATTTGAAATAGGTGAAGATTAAAGATAATCAGTTTCTGTTCTAAGACAGTTAACTTATGGACCACCCTGTATGTTTATTGGGGCAAAAAAACAGCTGCAATTCTTCTTTCTATGAAGAATATTAAATTAAGCTTCTCTCTAGTATCTAAATCCTTACTTCATGAACAAATACATAGCTCGTTTGTTGGACGACCTAGATTAGGATGGATTAAGAGAAACTTATTGGAACTGTTGCATATTCCTATTCTGCTTACAGGACATCGAACTGTTCAGTTATATTGGAGGATACTTGGGAATGTGGTTAGGAGTGTCTCTGCTGAACTGCCTTGGCATGCTGGACGGCTTACTGGTACGCTTTGAGAAGTTAAAAAACAAGAAGGAACCGGAAGGTGAAACATCTCGTGAAAAAACCAACCCTGATACAGTATCCTGTATTACTATTCATTCAGTTAAGGAGTGAGAGTAGAATTTTAAAGGCTTAGCTTTGTCTCTCTTTCTCTCTTTCCAATTATAGTCAATATATTTTACACTCTGAATTATGAGTCGTACTTTACAAATACGAAGGTAAATATATACCTTCGAATACTTGTGGTCATTTCAGATTAGGAAAGTATTGTTATTTCCTTTCTTCTTAAGAGAGATTCAGCAACGCGATTTTATTCTTAACAACATTATCTGCATCGATTCAGGTTTCTCTAACTTAATTCCTTTTCATTGAAGCGTATTCACAATATATACATTTACTACAATACTTGTAGCTCAGATGCACCAATGAAACACTGAAAAGCAATTGTGTAATAAAGTATTTAAAGCATTTCCGAAAAATAATGAGATGTTATTATTTGTGGATTAAGTAAGTGGTAAACCAAGATAACACAAGTACGTTTGAATGGTTTTGTTAATATATTACAATTTTTTAAAAATAGAAACCCATATTTATTCAAACACAAAAAGCATTTCCGAAAAATAATGAAATATGATTATTTGTGGATTAAGTAAGTGGTAAACCAAGATATCTCAAGTACATTTGAATGGATTTATATTACAATCTATAAAAATAGAAACCTGGAATTATTCAAGCCAGTTGTCTCTAATTCAGTGATATATTTATGTATGATAACTTTTCAATTTAAAGAAATCTCTGTGACCTAGGATCTAAGCCCATATAATTTATTATCATAACTTGTTGCTTATAAGCCATTCACATTTAATATAACCAAAAACAACTGACTCCAAACACAATATAATAAAAAATAAAAATATGTAATGTTACTTAGTATTCACACAAAAACAATTCTTGCCTTAAAATTCTGTTTTGGACAAAATTTGTCTTTCATTCAAAACTCAATATTCAAAGAACCACAATTTTAATCAACTTGTTTCAGTTAGGTTATTTACAAAAATTATTCTGTTATCCAAAAACCACCAACTTTGATTTTTAGTATTCAAAGAAATAAAGAAATTAATGGTATATTTAATTCAAGAAAATTTTTGTGTAAAAAAACAACAAAAATTTCATCTTCTTTAAATCGTTACCAACGAAAATAAAAACAAATGTTAGAAATATGAATATGTAGAAGATCTGGAAAAAAGAAACGTTTTAATAACTTATGGGTCCACTTGTCACTACTTTAACATCTTCGGTTCTTGTATATACTTATACATTCCATTCCTGTTATTACCTTTGATATTTTCCTCTTGAAAAGCAAAATGGTTGATCATTAAAGTTTACAATCTGTCATCCCAATGGTTGCATACGTTAAAATATTTTTGAGTAAGTGTACCAATGTAACATTTAAGATTAATTCCATTATAAAATATTTGAAATTGTGGAATTATCTAAGCAATATGTTTTGTTCTATCCAAAGAAAATTGTATTTCCAAAAAATAGCTACTATAATTATTTGTGTTTTAAGTAATTTATAAACCAATACATGCACGTGTTTACATGTACATCTAAAATAGATGATTAAATATTTAGCTTTTAGGCCCTTTTTTTTTACTACGTAAAAGCGGACCTTCAAAATTTCAAAACAGTAAAATATCTTTTCAACACCTGTGACATTCTAAATGCCATAGCAAATATATTGTTCATTGATGTATGTCATTTAAGTATAATTGTAAACTAATTAATGCTATCATTATTATCTATTTCATAAATTTATAAATCGTTTATAATAAAATTACAATAATAACTTTATACAAATAGTGATTATAAAATGCTTGATCAAAGGATTGGCATTGTTAAACCTATTTATCTTTCAAAGTTTTATTATAATTAATTATAATTATGTCGAGATTGATTATTTCGGATTATTATTATTGTTACGATCTTTATTTCTCGACGAGTTCCTTATTTATTAGTCAAAAAGAACATTGAAACTCAAGACCACTTAATAAAACGAACCTCCGCCTCCCCTCCAGTGGCTCAGCGGGAAATCTGAAGGCTAATAATGACAAAAACCGGGTTTAGATACCTGTGGTGGGCACAGCACAGATAGCTCATTGTGTAGCTTTGTGCTTATCAACAAACGAATAATAAAAAAAATGAAAGCGTTTATTTTTTCTTTAACTGAAACATATATACAAATTTCACATTCTTTAACTTAACTAACGATAGCTCCTGGTTATTAGAGTACTCGACTCGCAAGCTGCATGTCATGAACATGCTAGCCATTTCTTCCGTGGAGCTTTATAATGTGACGGTTAATTCCATTATGTGTTTGTAAAGAGCAGTCCAAGAGATGGCAGTGAGTGATATTGACTAACATACATGAATAGGGTTGTTTTTCCAACAGGATATCATTATTGTTTGAATTACGTGCTGTTGCTTTGGGCATGTAGATAGCTTTTTCCCTGTTCTTCATGTTCGAAGATTCTAACCTGCTATATGACGCCATGTATGACTTTTTACAGGTATCTTTCTGGATGGTCTTGGCGCTCCAACTTGATTAATTTTTTTTTGTTGTTGTTGTTGTTGTCCAGAGTCATTAAGCACAAAATATATCTACAAAAATCTTAAAAATTCTAAATCTCTGATTCAAATACATCCTTATTTTGTGAGTTTAAACTAATTTGATCCAGAAAAGATTTCTACATACCTTCCCCAAAAGCGATATATTTTCGGTATCATCACCACTACCTACGAAAACCAAAAGTGTAAAAAAGTAGTTCCGATACGTTCCATTCCAACATGACTTTGCATCAGCTGTTTTTGTCATGGGACTTACTGAACAACATATTAGAGATCATTTTAATATAATGTACCCAACCCCAAGAGAACTTTTAAAAGTTTCTAATGGATTCTCTTGAGTCTCAATCTGTTTATGAACGGTGTTTTAGTTGTATTCTGAGTTAGAACAAAATGGTCTTTCAATGTCGTGATTTTCAAAATTTCATTAAAACTCTTATATATATGATCTGATTATTTCCAAGAACATTGATATTTGAAAATTATCTTGTTGTCTTCATTCTCTGTTAAACATCTTTTTCAC